AGAGCAACCTGCTCAAGAAGAACAAGACCAGCGTAGGTCAAGCAGGATACGTCACCAACCTGAGAGATATGGATATCTCATAAGTGATCAGGGTGATGTATTACTCATGGATCAAGATGAGCCTGTGACCTACAAAGAGGCCATAACTGGTCCTGAGTCTGAGAAGTGGCTAGAAGCCATGAAATCTGAAATGGATTCCATGTACACAAACCAGGTTTGGACCTTGGTAGAACCTCCTATAGGAGTTAACCCTATAGGATGCAAGTGGGTCTTCAAGAAGAAGACTGACATGGATGGTAAGGTACATACCTATAAAGCAAGACTGGTTGCAAAAGGCTATAAACAAATTCATGGGGTTGACTATGATGAAACCTTTTCACCAGTTGCAATGCTTAAATCTATTCGGATTTTACTTGCCATCGCTGCATATCATGATTATGAAATATGGCAGATGGATGTCAAAACTGCTTTCCTTAATGGGAATCTTCTTGAGGATGTGTACATGACACAACCTGAAGGATTTGACATACCACAAGATGCCCAAAAGATATGCAAGTTACAGCGATCAATCTATGGATTGAAGCAAGCTTCCAGAAGCTGGAATCTTCGTTTTGATGAAACCGTAAAACAATATGGATTCATCAAAAATGAAGATGAACCTTGTGTCTACAAGAAGGTTAGTGGGAGCATGATCGTGTTTCTGGTATTATATGTAGATGACATATTACTCATTGGAAACGATGTCCCTACCTTGCAACAAGTGAAAACTTGGTTAGGGAATTGTTTTTCTATGAAAGACCTAGGTGAAGCAGCCTATATATTAGGAATTAGGATCTATAGAGATAGATCACAAAAACTGCTTGGCCTAAGTCAGAGTACATACATAGATAAAGTGTTGAGACGCTTTAATATGCATGATTCCAAGAAAGGATTCATACCTATGCAACATGGTCTGTGTTTATCAAAAACACAATCCCCTTCAACTAAGGAAGAAAGGGATCGCATGAATAAGATTCCATATGCATCTGCAATAGGATCTATCATGTATGCCATGTTATGTACTCGACCAGATGTCTCGTATGCATTAAGTGCAACGAGTAGGTACCAATCTGATCCCGGTGATGCTCACTGGGTAGCTGTCAAGAATATCCTTAAGTACTTGAGAAGGACTAAGGATTCATTCTTGATATATGGAGGTCAGGAAGAGCTTGATGTAATTGGTTACACTGATGCTAGCTTCCAGACAGATAAGGATGATTTTAGATCACAATCTGGTTATGTGTTCTGTCTCAATGGTGGTGCTGTGAGCTGGAAAAGTTCAAAGTAAGAAACAGTTGCTGATTCTACAACTGAGGCCGAGTATATTGCTGCCTCAAATGCAGCAAAGGAAGCTGTTTGGATCAAGAAGTTCATTAGTGAACTTGGCATAGTCCCTAGCATTGTGGATCCCATTGGTTTATATTGTGATAACAATGGTGCTATCGCACAAGCTAAGGAGCCTAGATCTCACCAACGATCCAAACACATACTTAGGCGTTATCACCTCATTCGAGAGATAATCGATCGGGGAGATGTGAAGATATGCAGAGTACCTACACTTGACAATATCGTTGACCCATTAACAAAGCCTCTTGCGCAACAGAAGCATGATGGTCATACTAGATCTATGGGTATTAAGGGTATGCCTAATTGGCTCTAGTGCTAGTGGGAGATTGTTGGTGTAAGCCCTAGAGGCCAATACTTTTTGGTACTTGTATCGGATTATTCGTTTAATAATAAAAGGCATTTCTTTATTATGTTTGTCTTTCAGAATAATAAAGTCCCTAGAAAAGTTAGTTTGTTTAATGAAATGTTAAGTGTGACTTAACCATGAGATCCCATTAAACATAAAGACATTATTCTTAAAATATCCGTAGTCAAGCTTTATTGCAAAGTGGGATAACATTAAAAGCATTGAGACTATTATGAAGATAGACTGATGATCACATCTCATGGATCATGGATAAAGAGTTATCAAGTCTTGACATAGGTATAAATATTAGGAGTAATATTTATACCGGATTGACCCGCTATGAGAATACTACATAGTATGTTATGCAAAGTGTCATAAGTTATTCTCATGGTGATAATGGTGTATTACCACCCTTCGACCTGAAACCACTATGGACCCTAGATGTAGAGTCGGGTGCTTTATTGCTGATCAAACATTATCCGTAACTGGATGATCATAAAGACAGTTGATGGGCACTCCACGAAGCATGCTGAGGGACATGAGTGTCCTAGATGGAATTTGCCAATCCTGCATAACAGGAGAAATGTCTAAGGGCCCAATATTGAACTGGACAAGGATGACACAGTGTATGCCTTGTGTTCAATATAGACATAGGGGCAAAAGGGTAATTGTACAAACATATATTATCACGAAAAAGGTTTTGTCAGATCACATGACATTTTCGTGACTTGGGTAGCAGTGATGTGTTGCTAGATACCGCTTACTGTTTATTATGTTAAATATATATAATTTAATATAATTACCAACGTTACGAAATCCTACAGGGTCACACACATAAGGACAGTTTGATGAGAGATAGAGAAATCAAAGGAACACCGTAAGGTACGGTGCACTTAAGTGAAAAATAGAAATTCGGATAATATAATAATAATTATTGTTATTTTATAATGGTTATAAAATAATAATAAAATAAATATATTTATTATAATAATAGTTATTATAATAATATATAATATTATTATGGATCATGTGAATTAGGGTTTTAGCCCGCAGCCCACAAGAGAGTCTATAAAAGGAACCCTTGTGATGAAGCTTTCACTTGATGCAATTTCGTTTTTGATTCTCTTTTCTCACTCAAATAATTCCGTTCGTAAGCAGCTAGCACTGTGACCGGAAGCTGTTCGTGTGGACTGAGTAGAGGCGTTGCACTTCATCAACGCTTGTGATCGCTGCATCAAAGATCTGAATCGCCACAAAGAGGTAACGATTCTATCACTGACCATGCTCATTCGTGAGGATCACTAAAGGAAAATTTTTGTTTTCCGCTGCGTTTAGATCGCAATTTTCCTTCAAGTACGCTCAAAGTTTTCTGAATCTTTGCTTTATACTTTACGCTCAGAGCCTTCTGTAACTTCGCTTTTCACCAAACGCTCAGAGTCTTCTGTAGCTTCGCTTCTTACCAAACAATCAAAGTCTTCTGCAGTTGTAGCTTAACGTTCAGAGGAATATTTATTATGTTATTGAAACAAAAACGCTTGAACAAAATTAGAGTATATATTTTCTCTATACAAAATTTCATTATTGTTATCATCAAAACATTGAGACATATTAAGAACCAATTTGTTTTCTAACATGCTTGTTTGTACAATTTGATTTGGGTGATGTAATTCCTCTATATATAAGTCTTCATCCATGCTCAGGTTTCTTGGTCTCATTAATGAATGTAACCTTGCTGACCACAATTGCAATACGTCGACTAGGTTAATAAAAAATTATTGACTCTAAAAACATTTTACCAGACATCCCATTGGGTATTACCTGAACTCACAATGAGTACAATAGTGGTGACTCTATTTGCGACACGCTAAACAAGAGATCTTTAAGATTATGATATGTAACATTGATGATCTAACCTATGATATCAGACTTGACACATGTCTTACATCACCTAACTTCATTTATATCCTCTCTATGCATCTAATATGATCGAAGGCGGGTGGGTCGAGGTTGTTGATATTATATGGGCTTGAGCCACAATATTTCCTAATAGCTCACAACCCTTTAAACACGAGGCTCTTAGGAGTGAAGTGTTTGAAAAAATACAACAGACCACAAACCCCTAAATACTAAGTATTTAAAAAAGATATAATAATTTATAATCTTCCAAACACGAGTTTGTAGAAGCGAATTGTTAAAAAAGAACATTACATTCTATAATCTTTAAAGTATTATATTCAACTAGAGGTTGTTAAAAATATAATTCTTTTATTATTATGAATAATATTTTAAAAAAGGAAAATACTATCTAATATGTCAGGGTTCTCAGGTAATGCTAACTTGTGTTCTTGGGTCAAATGTTAAAAAATCCACAAATAAAAAATATGTATGGAAAAAAAACAATAAAATAATTAATTATAAAATTGTATTAAATTTATTATACAATTTTTAAAATTATTTCTTATATTTATCTTTTAACTTGTGTCCAAGAGCACAACTTAACATTACCCCCCTCTTTAAAAACCTTAAATAATAAGTCTTATAAAAGTTTGTACAATCAATACATTAGAATTTGAATTGTTTGACTTTTTTAAAATATAATTTTTTAATATGAAGTTTTTGAAAAGTATTTCAGAAATACTCGTTAGTAAGATTTAAAAAAATTCAGACAAATTTAAATATTTAAAAGAAGTCTGAAAAACTTTACAATTAAATACGAAACATTTATACCAACAACCAAATGAATCTTTAAATTTTGGTATGAATCACACTTTTTTCTTAATCACTCTTATAACAAATTGAAAGAGTTAAGAAAAATAATTCAAATCTCAATAAATAAACATTAACAAAATAACCAATGTACTAACTATAGAAATCAAATAAAAAATTGATACTATTAAGAAGTAAATGAGAGGTTTACCCAATCCAACACTTCTTGCTTTTACTACAAACATCATATTCAACACTTCCGTTACAACAGTACGGAAATTCCCGTTTATTTGCAATAACCAAACGAAACAAACCGTAGCGTAACAACGTTGCTTTCTTGCTACTTGAAATGGCAGAGAAAGAAGCAACCTTCTCAGAAACAATATCACAAACAAGCACATTGACCACTATTAAATAAACACACACTACTACACTACTCTTTACTTTCCCCATTTTCCATTCTCTTTCTTTCTCTCTTTTTTTTTCTCTATCACTTCCTCCCAAACCATTTCCCTCCCGGTTCATCTTTCCCAAACCCGGTTCGGTTTGGTTCAATTCGATCATGGAGCAAACCGCGTTTGAATCCATTCAATTCAACGAAGAAATTCAGGGAATCATGGCGCCGGCGTCGGAAACCACAAGCTCTTTCACGGCACTTCTCGAGCTACCACCGACGCAGGTCGTCGAGCTTCTCCACTCACCGGAAATCACCGGAAAACCGCCTCGCCATGTCATTAGCCCAAAACCCTATCCTCTAACTTCTGACACAGATAATCTGATCTTCCCTTCCAACACTTCGTTGGTCGAACGCGCCGCGAGATTCTCCGTTTTCGCCGGTGAGAATTTGGCAAACTCGCCGCTGCCGGAGGTGAAAGATGAACTACCGGAAATCGAGGAAGGTGGATGCGTCTCTGATCGCACAGTCGAGAACAAGAATTCCAAACACGCGAAGAGGAAAGAGCCAGAGAAGAAGGTTCATAATCATCATCATCATCATCATCTTTGAACTCAATTGCAAACATTCTCGAGAATAATTAGGGTTTCCTACTTTTCAGTAATTTGGGCGAATTCTCTTGTTCTGTGAACGCAGGTTAAAGCATCTTCCAAGAAAAGCAAAAGCGTCGCCGACGAGAATTCCGGCAACGGCGAGGAACTTCCGTATGTTCATGTTCGAGTTCGTCGAGGTCAAGCCACTGATAGCCATAGTTTAGCAGAAAGGGTAAAACTCTTAATCCTTAATTAACCACTAATTCACTTTAATCAAATTTATTACTTTATTATTATCATAAAGTTTTGTTAATTTTTTATATTAATTTGATTATTTTGTAGGCTAGGAGAGAGAAGATAAATGCTCGAATGAAACTGTTGCAAGAGCTGGTCCCTGGTTGCAACAAGGTTGGTCCATTTCCTTCCTTTTATGATGTTAACAATACTCATTAACTATAACTAATCATTTGTACTTTATTTAATCATCATGCTTATTCCATCTAAATTGTCTCCCAAAAGTTCTTTTGTGTCTCTAGATTATGAGATTTTTTTAGTGATCATGCCATGTCATTATCACCTTTTCACCAAAATTAAAAGTGCATGTTTTTCCACCGAGAAAAGTGCTCTAGAGCACATAGTGTCAACATGGCATTTCTGTAGTTTTATCTCTCACATTACCGCACCTCTTTTGGAATTATGCTTTACTAAAACATTACCCTACTTTTGGGAATATATTACCCTACATGTGCCCTTAAACCTTTCTTAAGGAATAAAAAAGATAGAAATTGTGTTAAAATAATAGTTTTCAAACCTTTAAAGAACTGAATACTGAACCTCTAATACAATATTTGGTTTTCTAACTATAATAGTGACTCGAGCCGTCTCAGTTTTAGAGGTTTTAAAGGCGGTGTAGATTAGTTGCAGTTTAACCATGACGAAATAAATAAAGATTCTATTTAACCACGGTTTAACTGCAACAAACATTTTATGAGATCATATCTAATTAAGATTTATTCGTGAATAACTTTTAGGCCCGGTACAGTAGTCCGCCTTGCACGTTCTCAAAGACGGACATGTAAAGTGTAATAGTAATCCTATACTCCTCCTAAACAGATTAGGTTCAAGTAACATTTTTATCTAACTGTGGAAGATGCTCAAAGCATGTACAAAAATTTATATGAAGAATAGAATGATACATAAAAGTAATATATTGATTCTTTTTTACTATGGCAATAATTAATCCTGTTTTTTGAAAAGGACCAACAAACATATATGTCATGGTTTGTACAGGACAATTAAGGTAATCACCCGTTGTTCTTTTCTTTAGCTTTCTAACTCATTGGAGAGACAGAAAGGTGGGTGTGGGTGTGTGGGGTGTGAAAGGGAGTTACTCTAGCTGGACTCTGGCTTTTAACAATTGGAACTTTGGAAGTGTGTTGAAACTTGTATTCATGGGCCCCTAAGCAATTGAAATGCTAATCCATCTTTGGGAATGTGATGGTTACCATCAACACTTAGTTTGGTATCTATCTATCATTTATGGGATAAGGAAAATAAGGTGGGAAAATAAAGCTTACTTTTTAGAGGGCAATATCTACCCGACAGAAAACCTAACTGTCTTTGAGGATTTTACATAATTCAAATAATTTCACCTAAATTTTAGTTAAATACACACCTCAAGATTTATTTCCTAAATTAAAAGTTTATGGTACATTGTTTTTTTCTTCTTTGGTGTTCTCAGGATTATTACAATAATGGTATTTTTCGAGTAAATCTTGGAGCCTTTGGATTGCATGTATTGAATTATTATCTCTTTGATTCCTTTACCAAACTCTTGGAATTGAATGACTTTCCACCACTGTTTTATTAATTGACTTAAGGTTGCTCTTATGTTGTATCTTCAAAACTCAAACTTGGGTGTTTTGTTTTAATATATATAGGTCTGTAAACTTCAGGATGCCATCATGCAAATAATAAAGATTGGTGGGCTTTATATATAGCATGCAAGAAAATTTAGCATTTCCCCATTTCAGTTTGAATAACTCTAGTATGTGGATGTTTATCAACACGGAACAGATAATTTTTTTTTTTTCTTTTAAAATTGGAGAACGGAGAAATTATTATTGATTAAAATGACTTTAATTGTTATTTTACCAATGTTCTTCTAGAGATTCAAACTTTGTCCCTTGAAACTGACTATAAATATGGTCAAACTCTTACCACTAAGCTGACACAATATAGACCGTGTAAGTCTTGAGGCTGCCTCCAAAGTTGAATTCTTTCTTTGTAGCTTAACTAATATTACTAAGTTCGATCACATTTTATTCAAAGCTATTAGAAGCTTTTCTATGCTTAATTTAAAAGCCTTAGTACCAAGACCCTCTTTGATTTTTCAGTGTATACATGTTGATTTTCTTCAAAACAGCTAATCTAGTAAGTCAAAGATAGCTGACGCGATAAATTTTGCTTTACAGATATCAGGAACGGCATTGGTGTTGGATAAAATCATCAACCATGTGCAATCTCTACAGCATGAAGTAGAGGTCAGATTATATATGAATGACATTCTAGGCAATTGTTTATACAAATGAAGATTAGGATAAAGTTGTTAGCAGCAATCTGCTTTCATGCTTATATCATCAACCTGTAAATAATGCCTTAAAACTTTTTAAATTAGTGGTTCTGTTCCTTTCTTCCCCGTCAGTTCTGTAAAATGCTACTGAATATTCAGGAACATTTTTACACTCATGGGAACAATTAAAGCATTGCTTACTTATTTTGTACTATATATGACATTATAAACTGCATACTTTTCTCCAAAAGTAGGCCTGCTTCAATCTTTGCATGCCTGATTGGGACTTGAGGCTTTAAATCGCATGCTCCTAGACTTCCGCATTTTTTGGTTTTTATATCCTTTTGAAAGTTATCAAATGATATTTTCACTATGAAGATATCAAATGAAGATTGAGAATTGTTTCATAGGATCTTTTTATTAGAACACAATGCAGGAAGGAACATTTGAGTTACTTCATTAATGTGATATTCTTCATTGATTTCTCTGGTTTCAGATTTTATCAATGAAACTTGCAGCAGTTAATCCAATAATTGATTTCAACCTTGACAGCATGTTGGCTACAGAAGTAAGCATATCGACAACTGTGCATTATTGATCAGTCTTAATGTAGTTTTATTAGCCTACTTTTTGAAATTATTCTAAGTTTCCACATTGATTGAAGAGTTATTCATCAAATTTGTTCTTACTAGCCCTTCTATATATCATGCTTAAACACTGAATGATGAACTTGAATATGGGTATATAAAGATGGCTTAACAAGAATCAACAATATGAAAGCATAAATGCTTGCACCTGTTCGATTTAATTTTCTTCTGCTAACTATTTGTTTTGGCTTGTAGGGAGTGTCTCTCATGGACAGTAACTTCCCTACCGCAGTTGCACCCGTCGTGTGGCCAGAAATCCCACACAATGGAAACAGACAGCAATTTCAGCAACCAGGGCAATCTGAAGCATTCCACCAACTACTTTGGGGGAGAGAAGAAAATACCCTTAATTTCATGACCCCAGAAAACTCACTATTGAGTTATGACTCATCGGCAAATTCAGGTATATAATATTTATTCTTCTACTGCTAGTCTCCTCCAAAAATGCTCAGCTTTTTCCACTGTCATTGGGCTTCATAAAACTAGGATTGGAGCTAACCTGTAACCAGTTAATAATTTGCATACAGTATCTCTGCACTCAAATCAGATGAAGATGGAGCTATGAAGAGGTACAGAAGCAGTGGTACTAGTAACAATTAGTCTAGTAGTGTATATAAAAAATATAGTTTTAGAAATTAGCCTTGATTTGAGCAGGCCCAACATTCAGCAGGATTTCATTGTCCTCTGTTTGTCAGAGTAAGTTGGGAAACCTGAATTTTATTCAGCCAGCAGGCTAGCAAGGAAGAAGAATTCGAATGCTATTTCCATATAATATATTAATTAATATCAGTGTGTATACTAACTATAGTGGTCATTCAATCTTAGGTGATTGATTGGGTTCTGATTGTAAAATCATTGAACAGACTGTTAATTACTGGACTGTCTTTGAAGTTTGTGATCTGTTCGCTGGTTGCTAGTACTCAATATTTCTAGTCAGCATTTCTTATTTTATTTTGCATTATATCATTCTCCATTTTATTACTTTTAACACTATTCATAAATATGTATTTTAAAAAAAAAAAAAATTCATCTTTTCCTACTTTTTTCCTTTTTCTCAATCTTATGGTCCATCTGCGAGAATCTCATTTAAAATTAGAGGTCAATCTTATGGTCCATCTGCGAGAATCTCATTTAAAATTAAAGTTTTGTTTTTGTAGGGATTCACCCAATATAGTAATTGTTAGGAGTAAAGTTTTGTAGGGACTCACTCAACATACTAATTGTTATCATCGGTGGGATTCAAATTTACTTTTTGTTTTACTCAAACGTGTTTAAATAATATGTCAATACACAACTTGCTCCTATGTGGTTGATGGTTACACTTTTAAATAGGTCAATGAAATTATAAATATTTCAAATAATCGATAGTTTTACAAATTTGTCATATTAAGTAGTAAGGAGGGTGGATAAGAGAAGGGAAACAATTAGAGGAAAAGGAAGACTTAGAAAGATTATCAAAAAAATTATTAAAATAGATTTCGAGATTAATAATTTGAATAGAAATATAACTGTTGATAAAACATTATGGCAAATATTAACGAATATTGATCCACGTAATCGACTTCAGTTAGGATAAAACTTAATTGTTGTTATATCCTATGTGGTTGTCATAATATGTAGTTTATTAATATACTTATATTTTGAAATTGATAATTATATTTCAAAATGACAATATTATGATGGGTCATAGGGAGAGCATTCACATTTGTTTTAAATTTTTTAAAGATTTGGTATATGGATCACCTTACTCATAAAGCGTTCAACCTCTATTATTTTAAGTAATGTGTGACTTCTAACTCATACTTATATCTCAACAATCTTTCTCTTAAGTGTTAATTCATCTACTATGCTCCTCTTTAGGTGGAATTTGATCACCATCATGTTAGAAAAAATTTCGATACAAGGAGTTAATATTTTATTTGAACCATCATCTCTGATACTATTGATGGGTTATAAAGAGGAGCATTTACACTAGATCAAAAGCAACACACAAGTGAGAGATACAACACATATTTACCCTAAACATTAAGGCAGATAGAGCGGAGTGGAATTGGGTTAAATGAAATGACATTCTATTATTTGGATCATCTAAAATTGGATGAAGTCAAACGCAATGGAATGACATGAATTTCATTCATTCCATTACTTACCACCATATTCCTTCCCCTTCGATTTAGACGGAATGAACAACTTGCTTTGTTTCGTCATAAAATTTTTAAACATTGAAATTGTATTTTTGTTCCACTCCACTCCACTTTGCTCCATTCTACTCTGATCCGCTTCATTCAGCTCTGATTATTTAATAATATCCAAAGATAGGTTAAAACATTGGGTATGTGTCCTCTTATTTAAAAAGTGTTCAGTCTCCTTCACTTAAATGATTTACTTTTTTTTTAATTTGTGAAAAAAATCTCTCTTATGCTTGAAGAAATATTTATGTATGGTGTTTGGTGTGTATAAAAAAATATAATTTTTTCTATTTTATAATATTAGCTAGTAACTGACACGTGCATTCAGACGAATTTGTTTGTTATCGCTCGTTATCATATCAGTTATTTAATGTTAAAGTTAACTATTTGTTGTTTGTTAAAATTAACATAAAATAAAATATATTAAAGATAAAGCTCATAAACATAAGTTATTATGAATGAATTTTACAAACATGATACTATTTGTTATTTGTTAAATTAACATCAAACTTGCATCAAATTTTCTCCACGGGTTTGAAAAAGGTTGTGATATATTGTGATGATCAAGTTCTAAAATTTAATTAGTTACTCGAGGGGCCACATGTAAATTACAGAACATAAAAATAAAAATAATAAATGGTTGGGATGCATAATATTCTAAAAAAACAATTAGTTACCCACATGTAATTTTTATAGAATAAAATTTCAAAATTTTATTAAACAATATTAAAGACGTATAATTATAAAAATAATAGGAACAAAAATAGAGAAAATAAATGATTGTGATACATTATATTCAAAAAAAAAATTAATTACTCGTATAGACCAATCATAAATCGCTTATGTTTTAAGTTAAATTAAAAGCAATTATGCAATTCTTTTAGAATAAAATCACAAAAAGTTATGAAACAATATTAAGGATGTATAATATAGAAATAATAGGAAATAAAAATAGAGATAATAAATTATTGTGATACATTAAATTTTTAAAAAATAATTAGTTACCATAACCAATCATAAATCGCTTAATTTTAGTTCCACAATCTTATATTAGATATTAATAAAAAAAATTATATAATTTAAGATGAGTTCAAATACAATATTATGCAAACTAACTATAAGAAATAAAAATGGGAAAATAATTCTTTTAGTCCCTTAACTTTATCTACGAGTTCATTTTAGTCCTTTAATTTTTAAAAGGACCAATGTAATCCTTTATATCTTCAAACGGCGTCATTTAGGTCTTTTTCGTCTAATTGTCACAAACAGAGTCTATTTCTACACGCGTGGCATCTGACATGGCATATGTTCATTACCAAAGTCACTAAAGTTCCCAAAAAAATCTCCAAAATTTGGCTTCGCTAAGAATTAAACCCACATTTATTTGAGTGCTTGAAAATGCGTTGTACTACTAGGCCACATCAAATTTGTTTATTAGTTTTACAAATCATATATATATATATATATATATATATATATATATATATATATATATATATATATATATATATATATATATATATATATATATATATATATATATATATATATATATATATATATATATATATATATATATATATATATATATATATATATATATATATAAACAAATAAACAAGTTGAATATTCTCTCTCTCGTTTTTTCTATTGAATCTCATGAACATGCAAACATTAAAACCCCAGATCATTGTAAAATCATGTAATCCTTCGACCCTTTCATTACCCTTAGGGTACTTTTCTCTCATTTGAAAATATATCATTTCTTGTTGAATTAACCAAGAGAAACTAAATCCCTCTTAAGATCAGGCACATACCTAACACCAGCCAACAACCTTATTGACTCATCATGGAGTTTGAATCTCACAAATCTAATACCTCTAATTTTGTAATCTTTGTTGTTTTCCAGCAGCACTGATCCACCATCTTGATCACACAAATCCTCAAACACGTATTTTTTTTAGTCATGTGCCAAGTATACCCTGAATCCATAATCCACTCCATGCTAGAGTCGCTGTTTAAAACCACCAAGACATCAGATGATTCATAACCATCTTGCACAATGGATGCATTACCATTATCCTTTCCACTATGATTGTTCAGACGACCAGAGTATACTTTTCTTGTATGACCCTCCTTCTTGCAATGATAACACTTTATAGTAGAAGCATTACCACCATAAGAATTATGTAGAACTTTAATCTTCTCCTTCTCAAACCTATAATATTTAAGAATTTCCCCTTAACAGACAAACCTTCACCAACAGAGGATGGCTTGTTGTTCAAATTATTAGTCAAATGGGGGGTTTTGTATATCGTCTCCACAGGGATTTTCGTGATATCACTTGCCATTCTATAGTTTAAAATGTTTTAAGAAGGGTTTTCAAAGTTTTTTTTTTTTGGATCATAAGTTTGTCACAATTTTTGTAGCAAAGATTAAATTCTAATTTGTATATATTCGATTAATCAAGCATGTGATCTCGTTTTCGATTAATGCAATCATGTATCCTCTCAATACCGACTATGTCTAGAGCGGTGTCATGAATATTATTGTATCCGTCATTAGATGATATCTCATGCTAGCAACAAACACAATAATATTTAAGAACAACACAAAACAAATATCAACTAACAAATCTATGTCTAGAGTTTATTTGTTGATAGAAGAATATTTTAGATCAAGGTTTGTAAAATCTATGTCTAGAGTGATACAAATGATAAATGGAACATTAAGAGTAAAAACATTCAACATATATTAATCATTCACTTGTTCACATACAAATAGATCAAAAGAAATACATACAAGCTAAGATAAACTACCTCTACCTTTGATATAATGGATTTAGCTACCCATTATCATGATAGATTGCTTTACAAGAAAAGAAAGAAGATGAATGAGCATCCAAGACGAAGAATCAATATAGGATGCGAATCCAGCTTCTACTTGCAAAATATTACTTCTTGATGAAGAAATGATGAAACTAGGTTTTTTCTCCCCAAGCCAATGTTGCTATCTCAAAAAATTGGAGTTGGTAAGTTATGATCCTCAAAAAGTAGGGAAAATGACATAAATATCTTTTCAGAATCTGTCATGTTCGCACTGTGAACTCCACTTATACTTGAAGTGCCTCTGAATAGTTAAACTACCCCTGAGGTTTTCTTGACTTCGCACTCCGAACCTGCTCGCTTAGACCTCACACTGCCACCAACAAGGGGTTTAGCTACTGTCATCCAAATGTCCTGGTTCATTTTTTCTTTGCTTTAAGCTCAAACTGCGAGCTCGCTTTGACCTCGCTACTGCTTCGCACAACAAACATGCTAGATTCTTCCTCATTTCTTTGGCTTCCTTATCCATTCAATTGTGCCTTGTCCTTTGA